ACTTAATTCAGCAGCGAAGAATTTGATATTTTACACCAGTGAAGAAGTGTGAATATCGATACATTAATTATTGACTGGATTTTAATTCCACTATTTTCGCTGATAAGAAAAATTCACTAAATTAAATCCACATATGTCAAATAACAATAAAACTTAATATTGGAAATATTAGTGGAAATAAATGGTTTTACTTTTATACAATGTAGTAGGCTATACTATTCTAAACTTCTTTAATTTCAGGTGAGACATTTTGTGAATTTTGCAAGGCAGTGCAGTTATAGTTAGTGACATTTTGACGTGGGTCTGGAAGATACAATGTCACAGTGACTTTCGCAAAATGTTGTCTACATGAAAGACATGAAATTGAGCCAAAAATATTAGTTTCTATAGCAACTTGAGCATGATGTAAATAGTCATGTAATATCACTTGTTCATAGAGTAGGGTGATACGAGTGACGCCATTGGCTAGTATTATCCATTATGCTAATTAGGTGAGATGTTTGTAGTAGGCTGCTGAAGATTTTCAAAATTGACCGAAATAATACCTTTTCTTAGCGTTTTTTTTAGTTGTCATTATAACATACTATTTTCATTTATACCAGCGATAAAAATGGTCTTTTATTTGGGTTTTCTTGTGCTACACTGTTAGAAGAGACACAATGATGACATTAATCATGTATATTGCTACAAAAAGTTTGAAGTACAATTTAGTGATACGTTACTGCTGGGAATGATATGTACCATAGTCAGGTGACTATTAAAGTCAGGTGACTAAGACAAATAATTTAAACTTCACAAACACTTAAAGCATCAAAACACAGTAAATTCTAGAAGCATGACAAACGCTGTGTGTAAATAGCCGTCATACAGACAGATATAGAATTCTTAGACTAGGAAAATTCTAAAATTTTGTAACAGCAAATTTTCTTTAGATTTTTCTTTAGATTTTTGATTTTATTGACCGTTCAGACTGATGCCTGCTGGATACAATTTTCATTGTCATTATTATGGTTTTCCCATTTTTCCCAATAAATGTTACATCAAAGTTTACAGAAAATTACAGTTTTCTAAGTAATAAATCTTTCAAACTGGGTTATTCGTATGTCGATCGCAGGAAATCGATTCCATAAAAAACGTCTTTATTTGACATGAATAAGATGACACAGTTTGATTTGATTGATGGAAATCCTATCCACGTACAATCAAATCTTACCAGCTTATATAACAAATGTTATACGATATGACAGAATTTAATTCCAACTCACCTTGTCCTTTTTTTTTTGAATGTGAAAATGATTCAAATTTCAGTGAGTACAATATTGATGTCTGTGGTTGTATCGTCATAACGATATCGATATGTTGCCTACTCAATAATCAATTTTGGATTTTTGTTCTTTTATCTATCGAGGGTTTGGAAAATGCACGGACGTAGATGAAATCAATAATTTATCTGTTCATGAAAGATACATTTTATTTTAGTCAGTACACCGATTGCATAATCAACCTAAAGCACAGCCCCGGAAATAGTCACTGGGAAAAAAATTCAATAGTACTTTTGCAGGTATGACACATAATCAGAAGCAAAAATGAAAATGAACTACAAAGTTTAACTACTAGCTGGATTTTATTTATTTTATTTTATCTTATTTTGCTGATAGTTAAATGCAGTAATTTAAAACCCAGTGAATATTCTGTATTATTTTCTCCGAGAACCAGAGATTTTTAAAACATAGTTGTATATGCATGCAACATAAAATCTGCTAATTAAACAGAAATTTAAATTAAACATATTGAACATTTCTCATTTACAGTACCTCAAAATTTCTATGAACTTTAACAAGGTCCACATTAATCTACGCTAAACCAAGCTGGTCTAGAAGCATTAGATCAGATCAACTCATCTAGCTTAAAACAAACTTCTAGGTCCATGGAAATAAGTTTATCAATACTAACTTCTCTGAAATTAAATTAACTTAGGTGGGCCAGAATTCTTGGACATCACAAGCACTAACTTACCTGGACCATAGCTGTCTCTTCTGGATCTTTCCTTGGTGTCCACCAGACAAACCGGTAATCCGTTCATTGCACAGCAACGATGGCAGCTGAAGCCACAGACTGTGCAAAGAGAAAACAAAAATATGAATGATATTGTATGTACATGTATTTAGTGATGACAATACTCACGTTTGATTTCACTCCCATATGTTTATATAATCACACTGAACAGAAGTTTGGTTTGATTGTGATTTTCAGAATATTTCAAACAGGAACTCTCGAAAATTATACAATTTTACTAGGCTGGTTGCCACAACAAAGCAGACACCTTTCAAAGGCAATTTTTGACACTTTTCACTGAATTAACAAGACCGATTAAATATGATAAAATTAAACAGAGAAATTAGAGAAAAATACATAAAATGTGTGAAATGTTAAACCAAAATTTTAGCGAAAAAAATTATGGTGTTAATTAAGATGCAGAGAACAGCAAATATTGAGACACATGTGACAGAGTAGACACAGATCAGCCTAATATTCACAAGGACTATGAAACCCAAGGGGATAAGGTGAAAATGCCAAGAGTGGAAAGTACCACTAAAATCCCAAGACAGTTTGACAGTTTACAGAAAAAGTTCATATCTTTCAATTTTACTATCAATATATAATGCCTAATAACAATATTCTGAAAATCGTTTAATTTTTTTTAATCAATAGTATTCCTGGGGACACAATTTTGCAAAATGTCACTATAACCCCAGTGAATTTTCCCAGTTACAAAATTCGTTGTCATTACCTAAACACAAAATTAGTCTCACCTGTAAGCAGTTTACAGTGTATTTTTGGCTGATGCTGATGCAGAATACCTTGTGACTTATATATTACTGTCTGGCCTTGTACTGGCTTATACTCTATTTGACCCACATCAACTGTGGGTAATGGAATTATCCATTTAAAAAAGAGGGGCCATACCTTGACACTGCAAGCCCTGTCGTACCAGACCAAACATAAACTTGTTGCACTTGTCACACCACTGAAGAGAGGAGAAACTATGCTCTTGGAACTGATGGTCTGAAGCCGGTCGATTCGCTGTAGACAGAAAAAATCATAAAATGGCAATAACCAGGGATGAAAGAGATACAAACTGACTTAATGCCCTCAGAGGTGATTAAATCAATAATCAAGCTCCCATTAAAATGCTGATCACGGCGTTGAATTGGGATATTCAAGTTTGCACAAAAAGAAACTGCATCATCACAGTTAATTGCAGACAACCTAATTTTCTAAAATTGTAAAGAGTTATTCCATCAAAACTTATGAGTTAGACCCTGGATAAAGCAATAAAATGTCAATAATGTAGACTTTACCAATATATTTGTTACTTTCACACATACAAAGTAAATACCATATTGTACTTTTTTCACAAACTATACACCCTACCATATGTAACTAGGATAAGCAAGCAACACAAAGGGTTCCCCCAAAAAATTAACTTGAATAAAATATATTATATCCTTGTACATGATG